TTATCCAATAATATTTTTCCCATGTGATGAGATGATCTACAAAAATCAGCCAATTACAATGAAAGCCCGCTATGCTCGTATAAGCTATACATTACCATATAAATATATATCGATATACTTTAATTACTTTATTTTTATAATATGTATAATTTATATTTTTAACAATTATTCATGTATAATTATTTAGATTTTACAACAAATAGTTAAAGAAAAAGTTGATTGGTACTTAGATGAGCTTGTTTGTGAAATGGAACGATGTACAGGAAAGACTGTATCAGTTTCAACGCTTTGGAGATCTTTAGCATATTGTGGAATTACTCGAAAAAAAGTTAAGTTGGTTTTTAGTAAATCACATTTAATAACTTATTTAAATTTAGCATTTATTTAATAATAAATATTTGTTTGATTAGATTCACAAAGAAGCAAAAGAGCGAAATGAACTGTTGCGAAGTGCCTTTATGGCACGTGTTGGTTTACAATATGTCTAACCAGTTTGTATTTGTAGATGAATCTGCTAAAGATGAACGGACTATAACTAGAGGCTATGGCTATTCAGAAATAAATACAGTGGCAAAAAAAAAAGTAGTATTTGTACGTGGAACAAGATATTCAATTTGTCTAGCATTAACTTTACAAGGGATAATTGCCGCTGATATTGTAGAAGGCACTTATACCAAATTTCTATTTAAAGAATTTATTATAAACCATGTTGTATGTATTATTATCTGTTATAATTATTCTTAATTAGACTATAATTCGAAAATTATATAATAATTTATTAAATAATTTACTAATACTTATTTTATTTGCTTGTAGTTGCCACAAATGAATCCATATTCGCATTCCAATAGCATTTTAGTTCTTGATAATGCTCGTATTCATCATGATGATGGATTATGTGAATACTTAAATGCTTTTGGAGTGCGTGTGGAGTTCCTTCCTCCATATTTACCTGATCTTAACCCGATAGAAGAAGCATTTTCTTTGATCAAGAGATATCTACAATGACATCGTTACTTTGTTGAGAATTCAGATGATCCGAAATACCCACTATTAGCTGCATGTGCGCAAATTACACCTGAAGTAGGAAAAAAACTTATTGAAGCTTTTGGATATAAATAATACTTAATAGTATTAATAGTCAGATTACGTAGTTATTTTATTTATACTATAATATATGCGGTTTTGATATTATCGAAAATTAAAATTTTTAATACTACGTAAAAAATAGTAAATACCAAAATTCATTCTTTTAAAATGTTAATTACTGCAATACTTATGTACACTCCTAAGCTAACCATCTGACTATAATACTTATATATACTGCTTAAATTGTAAAGTACTCTAAATACTTTAGTCTATACTTTACGGTAAAAATAATTTTTGATTTGATATTTATATACAATATATATTTTAGTATATTTATATATATATGCATATGCATTAAAATCCCATTAACTCGTGAACAATTACTTTGTAGCACCACATTTCACTAACAATTACTTATCTACAAGTTCATTTCACTGATAGTTTATTTCACCAAAGATCATTTTCAGACAAAGCAATTCTGGTTAATATCATTAGAGTTAAATTAGAACTGGGTTAAAGTTAGTGTAATTTATAAAAAAAAACTTGTCAATAAAATGGGCTTCGGTGAAATAGACTGTCAGTAAAATAAACTTGTCGATGAATAATTGTTTCTGAAATATAGTGCCTATGAAGTGAAACAATACAGACCTATATGCATTATATTGGTATCAATATACATTGTTAATATAATTTTAACTTTTTAGCAAAAGTAATAGTATATACATAGCCGATTCTATTCTAATATTAGCATACATATGTAGTATAAAATTGTATACAAAATTACTGCATATATGTAGAGCTATATAAATTATATGTAGTATATTTATATGTATATTAAACTTTTTATTAAGAACAACTTGCGCACTTTTGAATACAATCTAATAAAAGTCTTAATTTTGATTAAATCATCTTTAAGCTCTAATTTGCTTGTGGAAGAATCTATATAACTCTTGTAAGTAATAAGAATTCAAAAAAAAGCAAAATAATCAACCAAATGTTCTAAATTATTACTTGCAAATTTAAAGCATTATTTGCTATGCAGCATAGTGTTATGTAATTATATTTAAAGATTAGAAAGATTGGTTAATTGGTTGATATTTTTCAGCATATTCGCGTAAAGTTTCACGTTCACCAATAGTTTTTATATCACACAGTTCAAAATCTTTATCTGTTAATCTTCGTAAATGCTTTACTAAGACTTTTTGTTCTTCAAATTTATTTAAGAAATCTTGGTAATGATGGCCAGTTCCTTCATTCTCATCAATTTCTTTTAAGAACTCTACCATAGTAGGTATAGTTAAAGAAATATTTGAATTAGATCGGATAACTTGAGGATGTAGAGGAATATGTGATAGTGTTTGATATGGGTTATACGGAGCTGATAGTAAAGGTTGATATGATTGAAGCATTTGAGATCCATAAACCCAATTGCCATGTGATGGTAACAATGGTGGTGATAATTGTTGTGCCAGTTGTACTTGTGATAATGGTGGCGACGATAAAAATAAGGGTTCTTGTGTTTGTGGTGATCTTTCTAGAAGTTCTTGTGAATGTGAATAAGGTAATCTTGATGATTGTTTTCTTTTTGATAGTATATTATTATGAGAAAAAAGAGAATGTGTTGGGAGATCCTCGATTGTAGCCAATCCCTTATTCTAAGAAACAGATATATATTATAAATTTATATTGTTATAAATAATGCTATGTAAATACTATCCTATATACTATTTTTATACGTACTATGTCTGATGCCCAAATTGAAAGCATTAAAAAAGTAAGTTCAACGTGCAAGTCCTTATGCTTTTCTTTATTTAAACAAGGTTTGTTATGTATGTTGCAGTGATATGTATTTCTAATTTTCGATACATTTTCAGCAATGATTTTTTCATGTAGAGATAAAGATTCAGCATTTGGAATTCGATTGATTTTTTTGGTTTTTTTGTAGTTATTTGATCTTTCGGTATCTTCTTCATCTTCGCTCAAATTCAATTTCTGTAAAAAATTTATAATTAATAATTTAATGCAGGGTGCGTTACAATTCTATTATTTGCAAATAACTTAAAAATTTTTATGCATGTATATGCATATTGTAATTGTTACCTTTTTTTTTCGCTTATTTTGGGATGGTGTAATTGTTACATAAATTCCAATATCATTTTTTTTCACAGTTAATTTAACATATTCGGCCTTAAACTTGACAAAATCTTGTTCATCAATCAATTGAGTTCCAGAGCCTACTTCTCTGTGTGTTTTAAAAGTAACACAATAATCATTTGTAGTATCGTGTGTTAGCAAAATAATTTTGTCATGAATAGACAAAAGAAATTCATCTATTGCTGATATGGATTCTTCAAACCATTTTGCAGGTAATGAAGTTCCATCAGATAATTTCACAAATAATTTGTAACCAATTTTGAAAGCAGGTTCTTCATCTTTACTGCTAGTTTCATCTTCGATTGTTACTTCTACAACTGATAGAGGAGTATTTGGTTTAGTTTTTGTATCAATTATGTTTTTTTTGTCTTTTGCAGTACTTAATTTTGTCAAGATATTGTGGCATCGCCCACACAGAGAAAACTTAAAAGATATCTTCAAATCTATATCATAATTATATTCGGAAAACTTTCCATGAATATATTCAAATTTGGGCACTGCCCATGTAGGTTCATATGAGCGTGTATACGCTTGTTTGACTGAATCTGTCCTGTTTTTTTTTGTTGGCACCTCAGTTAATTTGCAACCACAGATATTAGTGCGTAAATCCACAGCACAATATAAACATTTCCGGCACCCAAAACAGGTACCACGAAGATATTCGAGCTTTGTATTTTTTGTATCTGCCATGATATTAGATCAATTGAAAGAAGGTAAATTTTTACTATTTTTTATTTTTTTATTTATTTTAGATCCCAATTGCATAATAATTATGAAAAGCATGATTATTATCAAAATTATAAAAAGCGAACCTATTTATACATAATACGCTATAAAGCAAATAAAGATATATAATCTAAAAGAAATATGAGTGCTGCAAAGAAAAAACGCATAGTTTGTAAGTTTTAGATGAATACAGGATTTAGAATTATAAGTACGTATCATAAATATAACTACTTAGTGTTAATTAACTAAAAATTACGAATAATTTTAACCAATTACAAATCAGAATTCTAGAATTCCAGATTTCCATATGGTGTGTGATGCATAAAATTCGCCGATCACAGTAATTTGCAAAGCACAATAATGGGCGGCTATGATTTCATTAGTAAAATTATGAGTAATTCCGGCAGCTATGGTTAATATTTCTGGTCTTACTGCGGCTACTGCGGCGCAACTGGGGACTTGGATAAGTGATTTTACTTACTATACTAAGAATTCATATATTCAAGGTCTTAATTTTAACACTAATTATCTCTATATTCGATGCAAATATACTGCTTAGGGTGCTCTCAAGCAACGCACCTAGTATCACCACCAAAATTCTGTACGTAATCAGTTGTTAAATTTCAATCTAAGCATAATAACAACAAAATCACGATATTTTCGAAGTTTATCATTATTAGTATTAAAATTATTTGGTTGTTAAATTTCAATATAAAGTATAATAATAACAAAATCACAATATTTTCGAAGTTTATTATTATTATTATTATTATTATTATTATTATTATTATTATTATTATTATTATTATTATTATTTATTAAAATTTACTTAATTACCACTGCAAATTCTAAGTCGAATTACATTCAATTCAAATATTTAAATACATTTATATTTAATTAATTTTTTTTAATACACATATAAACTTTAAATGCTACCAGTAAAATGTGTATTTGTTACGACCTCTCCAAGTTTTTGGAAGCTTTTTTGCTCGTTCGAATGTCATCCACCATTTTTTGGATAGGTTTAAAGTTCGATTCAATGCTTCGAAGCCATCTTTTTTGTTTGGGAAGATTATTAGATTTTTCAAGACAATTGAGCACCTAAAATATAAAATATATTTATACTGTATAAACATGAAAATATAGTGATAATAAAAAAAAAAAAATCTTATACCTCATGAAGAGCTTTTTTGTACTTTCTTAAAATTTCAGATTGGATTTACTATCTTCAGTACTCGATTCCTCATTATATATTATTTCATTTTTTGGATTCACAAGGTCAATCATTAAATTATTTTGTGCATGATTAATTAAAATTGGTCCTTTGCTTCCGAAATAAAAAGATACTGAGAATTTCGTTGCTTCTAAATTAAAATAAGATTAAATTTGAACTTTTTTTTAAAAAAAAAAATAATAACAGACCTTTAGGAAAAAAATGATGCATCCATTTTCCCAAGAGGATTAACAAAGTGTTTGCATAATAAAAATCTGTTTTTAAAAAATAATGACAAGAGCATGTCCAATTTTGATGATTAGTTAAATATTTTTGTGCATTCCAAATGCTATGAGTAGTTAATTTATTCCACTCAGTTATGAATTCTTTACGCCATGATGGTAATATTCGTTCGTGTAAGAGTAATTGAAATCGATGCAACTGTACTGGAGTAATTTTTCAGTAAGGATATAGCAAACAAGATCTATACGTGGCTGATTAAACTTATATAACTGATAAGTAATCTCATTTTAGCATACGCCAGTGAGATTCTATTGACATCGTTGTATGAATTACAGAAACTTCTAAAGATGCAGATAATGCCCATAGGTCAATTTAATAATAATGGTTCCTTTGCAGTCATAATGTTCAATTCTTGGTTCTCTATCACGTTATTTACTTTCAACATCATTTTTTATCCTTCTTTCAAGTTCACAGCGACAGTTACACCAATAGGTAAATGAAGTAGTCTTGATTTGTTTATTATCATATTTTTTATATAAACATATGAATAACCATCTCCTTTTTCGCAGATCTTTACGATCTCAAGTGATAATGAACTTGCAAAAACTTCTTCGGTGTTATTTTACTTCTAATTTATTAATTATTCGAGTTATCTCAAGATTTATATACATATTGCTTTCTCCTTCAACATCCATAAGCTTTTCATAAACTATATGTTTAGGCTCTTCGGATTTTACGGCATTTTCTTTTTGCCTGCAAATATCACTTAAAATTTGATCTTCACATTTCCTTTTTCAGCTTTCATTTATATGGTCTGAGGACTCAAAACATGTTTTTTGATTACTTTGAAATACAATAATAGGTTTTCTAGTTCGACAAGATGAGCAAAGTTTTGAATTTTCCATTTATGATATTTAAAGAAAAAAATTTTCTCAACATAAATAATTATTTTATTATTATGTATATTATTATTATTATTATTAATCAATCATTAATTTTAATGTCAGCAAATAAATTTAAAACCCAATTACGTACATACAAGATTTTGGTGGTGATACTAGGTGGGTCCTCTTAAGCATTTTCCTGAGTGTGATTAGATTGTGATTGAGATGACGCACAATCATTACAATCAATGAATATAAAGATTGCGATCAATAATTAAGTGAACTCTTTTAATATTACAATTATCATGTCTCCAACAAACAAAAAAAAAACAACTGTTCAACAAACAAAAAAAAATATTACCATTACCAACAACTTCAAATGTATCTGTTCCAACTACTTCAAGTGTTTCTGTTACTTCTTTAGCAATTCTAAATAGTTCTATTGCCACTTAGCCTAATTACAATACTTCTGTTGTTCCTTTTACAGATTTAACAAATTATCATATGGGTTGTTGCCTAGCAAATTGGGGCTTAGAAGCAAATTTTTTATTTGTAAATATCAACAATTAATCATCTTGATACAAAATTTTGTATTGTAATAAAATTAGAATATTGATAACCTATGTATTGTGCAAACACTTACAGCATAGATTTTAAAATTCAGTTAGCCAATCGCAACATGTAAAAAATTGCAGTACTAACTGCTGATCTAAATTTAGAATATAACTCTGGATTAAATAAAAAAACTGTGTACAAGATTGTACTAAATTATAATATGCTAATATGTATCAAAATTTTTACCATAAGTAAAGCACATACTTAGGAATATAACCCACTAAAAATCTTGATTTTGGTTAAAACCTCTCTAAGCCCTGATTTGCTAAGCAACAACCCATATGCTGTTATAACAACATTATTCTTTTGCGCCACATTTAATCCTTTAGTTTTAAATAGAACTAATAGCAAATATGAAGAAGTATATATTGAATTTTATTTAAATTTGTAATTTTTTATAAATAATTAATAAAAAGTTTTTTTAGATATCTCTTTTAAAGTCATCTATTAGTGACAATAATCAAACTTCTACTGCTAATAGTAGTCAAGAAAATTTACAAGTTTTAGATGAAATATCAAGTTCATCCAACACTAATACTATTTCAGAAATAAACCAAATAATCAATGGACATCATTCGATGATAACAATTGTCAGTTATTTTTTTTGGCTTTCTTAATATTTTTTATTTGTCATGAAAGTTTCTAGTACAAAGAGTAAAAAAGTAATTTGTTGTTGATGGTGAAGATCCATATTGTTAGAAGTGTATTTAGTGCAAAGTATAAGTGCAAACTATAATGATTTGATCATAAAAAAAAAAAAAAAAGATTTAATTATAAAAAAAAAATAATGATTCGATTATAAAAAAAAAAAAAAAGATTTGATCATAAAAAAAAAGAATAAAAAAAAATGGTTTGATCATAAAAAAATAATGATTTGATCATAAAGTGCTTGAATAATTTTACTCCATAATAAATTTTGGCCAATCAGTGCAACTCTATAAAGAAAAAAGATGGTCACTAACCATCTTTTTTTTTTGACTGTGGTGATAAACTTTTTTGAACCCCTCTAGTATGACCACCAAAATCAGTTACATAATTGCTGTTTAAAATCTGAGATCTTATAATCCAGCACAAATTATATATAACTATAAAAACTTTTATTACGATATTATAACGATTTAAAATTTTTATTAAAAAATTTTATTATAAAGTTATATTGAGTAAAATTTGAAATTTTAATTATCAGTTATAAAGATTTTTAGTGTGTAAAAAAAAATGCCAATGTTTGTTCAAATATATACAATAACATGAAATATTTATAAATTTTAAATTTATTACCAATAGAAAGTATTCTTGTTTCATTTATTCCAGGTTTTTTTTTGCTTGGTTCAAGATTTTTTATGTGGTCTGCCATATTTTGAATCATTTTGAAATTTGATTCAATATTTTTAACTATTCTCTTTGCTGTGGAAGGTAATAAGGCTTTCAAACATCTATATTAGAGTAATATTAATAATACTTTTATTATGTTATACATGTATAATTAATTCAATAAAAAATAATAAATAAGCTATACCTCATAAAGAGTTTTTTATGCTGATCGAAATTTTCAATTCTGTTTTATTTGATTCATTATTTTTTGCAATAATATCATTGTCAAAAACAGTTGAATTAATTGTTATCACTAAAAAAAGCTGTGCATGGTCAGATGGCATGTGAATATTCTTCCATATCATTTTTTCAGCTTCTTCAATTATTGGATAATTTAATTTCTCTAAACCTTAATTGAAAATTATTAATAAATATACTTTTTCAAAATAAAATATAAATAAATTTATCAAACCTTCCTAAAGAATGTTACTGATGCTAATTTATTTTGTAAATCAACTCTAACAAGAATAACACCTCCACA